CAGTGATCTCTTTATGTTTCCCAGGATCCAAGTTCTCTTTCACAACAATTTTGATAATACTATGCACAAAATAAATGGGAAAATACCACAAAGTTATTCTAGCCTATAACAGTGTTTCTTTGGTTCTGGAGTCTCAGCATCAAAATGATCTCTCTCAATTATTCTGTGCTCTGTGTAGAATGGATACAACAAACTTAATGCAAAAATGTGTTCTTTGTCACATTTTAACATATTTTTGAACAATTTTGAACAAAAATAAGTATTCAAACCCAGGCTCTCAAAAAATAAGCATTCTTCAAACATCCCTATGTTCCTGAATGATAATTACAATTCTGCATCGCTCTAGTAAAATACAGAAACATTCTGGAGTTGGGAGAGGGCGATCTACTCATATTTTTAAATCTTGTAGTACTTTACACAAAGGGCCTACAATCACTTTCTCTAGTAAACAGGGCAGCAAAGTGACATTTTTGTGTACTTACTTTCTGCAATACCTGTAGCAGGATTACTCACCTTCACAACTTGCTCATCGAATCTGCTTTCCCTGGACTTTCTCTAACCCCAGATTTTCCCGGTTTCAACATCCAAAAGTATACAGTATTCCAAGAGAGATGATAAAAACCATACAGTATCCCAAGTTTTGTTGTTTAAGAGAACCATCTCTAATGCCAAGAACTCTCAGCAATTTTAAAGTGTTCTTGCCACAACAGCAAGTTTTGGCCTCCAGGAGTGCTCCTATCTCCTTTCACTGTGTCAGAACAACCATTTTTAAAGGGAGAGGGGAGTACAAAAGCGATAGACACGCGCGCTCTCCGGAAGAAATCTCTACGTCTCACTTACTATTTCCGCATCACAGAGACCGCCCCAGACTAAAGTGTCTTAGGGGGAAACGAGAGGAGTCCAAGCTTCTCATCCTAACAGCCCGTTTCCCAAGTTACCAAGATCCTGCCAGAATTAGGGATTTCCGAAAGGCTACGGCTAGTTCCTCGTCACGTGACCCGTCAGTCTGATCACGTGATGTGTCAGCTACTTCCATTCAGATGCGGGGATGTGAGGGAGACCAGAAACCCTAAGCCCTCGCTCTTGTATACTCAAACCCTAGCCACACAGATTACAAAGCGCCTCTGGATGCTCTGCTTCTGTCTCGGACACCACCTCCTCCCACGGAAGTTTCGGAAGGACCCCAGGGCGCCATCTTCTCCGCTGCCGCCCCCCAGAATGATGGTTGGGGCCTGAGGCCACGCCCTCTCCTCCGCGGTCCGCGGCTTTAGCTCCCAAATCCAGCGCTCTGAACTCCGGAGCGTCCAGGGTTGCTTCTCATCAGGTTCCCACTTGATTCACACTCACGCAATCCCTGGTTCCCTTCTTCATGGCATCGCTCTTGTGCTGTGGGCCTAAGCTGGCCGCCTGCGGCATCGTCCTCAGCGCCTGGGGAGTGATCATGTTGGTGAGGGGACATCCCGACGGAAGTCGGAGCGGGCCCGAGGACCTCCCGGGTTGGAGGGCTGGAAGGCCAGGAAACCCCAGGTCTTAAAAGGCGTAGGCAGGCTGGAGGGGCTGATGGGATAACTGGTTGCTGGAGAATGAGACAGAATTGAGATTAGAAAATAGGGAATTAGAGCGAGAAGGTGCTGGGGCTAGAGCCTAGAATGGGAACCAGGGCTGGTAAATTTGCGGATTAAAGTAAGAAAAAGAAGAGCTGGGGTCTTCAGAGATGCATGAGTTGGATGGAGACTAAGAGGGGAAAGGGACTGCTTCTTCCTGAAATAGGTAACTGAGGCCTTCCGCCCACCTTGACTTTATCCGCAGCGACTTCCATAAATAATATGAAGTGCCTGTTCTCCCTCACCTCTTCCGCCCTGTCTCGTGATAATGACGCCTCTGGGAAGTATAGTCTGGGTTCCTGGGAGAGTTGCTAACTATTCCTGCCCTTGTCCCAGCCTTTCGTCTCAGTGTCCCCACTTCTCGCCCTGTTGCAGGTGGCTGAGGTCGAATCCAGCTACAGCCACTCATACTACTAGCTCGTTCTGGTTAATCCCAGGCACAGGTGTTGGGTCAACATTAGAAATGAAAGGGATTTAGGCAGTGACCAGCAACACAGTTGCCTGAGTTCAACAACTTACATATTCCCTTTTTTTCAGATAATGCTTGGAATATTTTTCAACGTCCATTCCGCTGTGTTAATTGAGGACGTTCCCGTCACGGAGAAAGATTTTGAGTAAGTGGTTTGGGGTAGGAGGGAGCCGGGTGCAGGTGAAAAGTGGCTGGACCTAGGGTCAGAATTGTAAGCGGAAAATTGCCAGGAGGCTGGATTAAACATCCTGCCCTGATGGAGTACTGGTAAAGGAGAGTTTCTCTATTTAGAATGTGGTTAGAGGCTGGGGATTGTAACTCCGTGGTAGAATACCGCTTTACGCGCTTTCTTTTATGGTGCTGGGTTCAATCCCTAGCACCATAAAAGAAAAATGGGATGTATTTAGGAGTGGTCTCGGAAATCAGGCTTCAGCGTCTCTCCTAAAACCCACCAGTTTAGGTGCGGCTTCTTTAGTTACTTCACCTTTCTGTGCCTGGGTTCGTCTTGCAAAGGGGGTATTAGAATGGAATAAATCCTTTAATCCAGAAGACTGAATAAGATAATATACATAAAGGGTCTTGGGACGGTGCCTGACACATACTAAATGCCCGGTAACTGTTGGATTTTCTTAATGACTGACACTTCTCTGCTTAATCCCCTCCCTCAGGAATGGCCCTCAGAAAATTTACAACCTTTACGAGCAAGTCAGCTACAACTGTTTCATCGCCGCGGGCCTCTACCTCCTCCTCGGAGGCTTCTCTTTCTGCCAAGTTCGGCTCAATAAGCGCAAGGAATACATGGTGCGCTAGAGGACGGTCCAATTTCCCCTCCCCAGTTCCCTCTATTTAAAGACTCCCTATCCCAGGTCTCCTCCCGTCCATTCTGGTATCCTCTGGAAAACTGGGTCCCCCTGGCGAGAGTCTGCAGCCCCGGTTCTCCAAGCTCTGGCGTCCAGCCCCTCGGCTTGACCGTATCACAATAAAGAGAAACTGCTCTCTTAAGCTTCGCGTCTGTGCTTGAGTGACGGGGCGGGCCGGGCCAAGGCTGGAGGTCGGCCTGTAACTGCAGAGACCCGACCACTCCAAGGAAGTGTAGTGAAGCCGGCCGGAAGTGAGGCGACGTCGCCCATCTCTCCTTCCCCTGAGCGCCGGGGCCGCCTAAGCGACTGCGGTTGGTAGGGCGGAGAGCGGCAGGGTTTGAGCCAATCAGCTACGGGGAGGGTGGGACTTCCTGCTCCCGGGCCGGAGCGGCTAAGTAGCCCGGCTCTCCGTGGTCCCAGCTCGCGTGGTGGCGGCGGCAGAGCGTCTCCGTGAGGAGGTGCGCGGGGCCATGACGTCAGCGTCCACAAAGGTTCGACCTCCCTCGCGGACAGCGCTCCCTGGCGGCCACAAGAGGGGCGGGCCCCCTGCTTGGCTCCCGCTCTTTCGCGCGGGGCTGGGGGCGGGCGCGGATCTAGGGTGGGGCTAGGGTCTCCGGGCGGGACCGCGCCGGGGCTGTGCGCCGGCCCCCCATAATACTGCCCCGCCCCCAGGTCGGAGAGATCTTCTCTGCGGCCGGCGCCGCCTTCACGAAGCTTGGAGAGCTGACGATGCAGTTGCATCCCGTGGCCGACTCTTCCCCCGCGGGGTACGTGAGCCCAGGCTGGGACGTGGACGCCGGGCGCGGACGCTTGGACTCTGTCACAGACACAGATCCTCTCTAGAGCGGGGGCAAATGTTAGTTTCCCTTTGTGCCTGGCACAGCGCAGAGTAGGTGTTAATAAATGATCGTTGAATGAATGACAGATGAAGATACAGACAGGTCCACCACCTGACTCATAATTTCAGTTGTCCCTTGCTGCGAACTGACAGACCAAACCACCACCACTACCACCCACCCCAAATCATATAAAATTCCATCAAACTGCTGCAGACCGTTTTCAGGGGTGCTGTTGTAAGACCCCTACTTGTTGAGTTGGTGTCAGTGGGCCGTCTGCAGCAGTTGCACATTGATGAAGGAGAAAAGTGTTCTAGCGGTGGATGCAGTTTCATGTCGTGGGGGGAGGGGTCCCCAGAGGTTTTGTTTTGTTTTGTTTTTAAGTAGGACCCCTTTTAGTCCTTGGAAGGGGACCCAGAGATTGGGGGCAGAAGGCTGATTGGCTGTGGAATGCACAGCCCGTGGGCTGGATCCACTCCCTTCTGCTCCCGTTTTTGCTACCCCACCTCTCCCCTTCCGACAGTGCGAAGTGGACGGAGACGGAGATAGAGATGCTGAGGGCTGCTGTGAAGCGATTTGGGGACGATCTTAATCACATCAGCTGTGTCATCAAGGAACGGACAGTGTGAGGGAGGGTGGCTGGCAGAAAAAGGGGGGTGGGCAGCTTTCTTCCTCCTTACCCATTATTCCTTCTTCCTCAGAACTCCCAGTTCAGCATCTTTCCTACTGTGTTGCTAGTTTTGTTAGCATTCCCTTGAGGACTGAAAGAATATAAGAATTGTCGCAGTTGGTCAAAAGTTCCTAAAATGCGATGGTAGTCAGAACCTTCCAAGAATTTTATTTTAGGGTGCCTGAGCTACTCAATTATTGTATTTCATAATGGGAATCCCTGGTGATTTATATAGATCTTTTGAGATTCTCATTTTTCCAGGGGTATTGTGATTCTGAAATAGTTGATCCAGATCTACTAGTAAGTCTCAGTCAACCTTTAAATCACCAAGCCTTACCTGGTGGCACTACACATCCATACATCTCTCCCAGAAGAGGATTAGGGAATGGGCCTTTTGGCTACTCAGTTCAGGGACTCCACTCTTCACACTCCATCTCCCTAATTGAGTACAGAGTTTCACAAAAATGAGAGCCCTACCAGAGGCCTGGGGCCCTAACCTGGATTCTTATGTAGGGCTCCCAGAATTCCTTCAGAGTGACCCATTACCCCTGCCCTCCCCTTTTCCCTCAGCTTGCTGACCCCTTTCCTAATCTGCTGTCTCTTCTCTTCAGGGCTCAGATAAAGGCCACTGTAAAACGAAAAGTATATGAAGATTCTGGCATCCCCCTTCCAGCTGAATCACCCAAAAAAGGGCCCAAGAAGGTGGCATCTGGTGTCCTGTCGCCTCCTCCAGCTGCCCCTCCACCCAGCAGTTCCAGTATCCCAGAGTCCGGGGGACCCCCCATAAAGAAACAGAAGGCTGGTGAGGGCTGTGGAGTTGTTGCTGTCTAGGGTACGGGTTAAAGGTCCCATCTGAGGTTCAGTGAGAGAATTGGGCCTGGGTCAAAGGATAGATCTCACTTTCTCTCCCTAGGGTGGTTTCCAGAATGGGGGAGGTAGAGCACAAAGCTTTGGAAAACTGGGGAGGGGAGAAGTCAGGGAACCTAGAACCTAGCCTATGCCCCCTCCCAGATGTGACACTCAGTGCTCTGAATGACTCCGACGCCAACAGTGACCTGGTGGATATTGAAGGGCTAGGAGAAACTCCTCCAGCCAAGAAACTCAACTTCGACCAGGGTAGGAGTCTTCCTCCTCCCACACTGGCTGGGGTTGGGGGGAAGTGCTCACCTGATGGCAGGGGTGGGTGTCAGCAAGAGCATCTCCCTTGTTCAGGGGCTTTGAAGGGAAGGTGCTCTCACAGTGCCAGGGACTGGGTCAGTAAGAAGCAGGGTATTTGGAGAGGTGGGAGTTGTCTTGGAAACTACTTGGGACTTGCTCCATCTCTGTCCATTTTACTTCCTGTTCCAGACAGCCTGACCCTGGATTCTGGCCTTCTCACAACCTCTGCTGATGCTCCTCTACTCTCCTGCTGAGCCTTCCACCTCTGACCTTCTCACTATTCACCCTGGACCTGTGGATCACCTGGGACTCAGAACGAGGCCTGCATGAGAGAGGGAAGGAAGGCTGCTAGGACTGTCACCTGGCTGTCCCTGATAATCATCTGCCCTCAACCCCTGACT